CAGAGGGCTGGGCAGAAATTCTAGCAAGTGCTAATTGGGTCGCGAGGCTCCCCGAGGGAGGGGGGGAATGCCCGGTTAATTACTGGCCCGCGCTGCAGGGGGCCACTCACCGGGCCTACCTGCCGCCTCCCCGCCTCGCTGGAGCTGGAAACCTCAGCCAGGAAGCCAGGCGGTTCGGGACAGGACGGCCGGGTGAGCCTTGCCGCCATCTGGTCCCCAACTCCCCGCCTAATGTTTGTAACAGACCTGCTACCTAATTGCATGTTTGGGGAGCAGCCTTCACATCTTTAACACCTAATTCACTATTGTTTCTCTGGAAGCCCCAATCCTGCGGCCCGATGCGGAGGGAGGGCTCTGCCCGTTTACGGGGCTTTCCAGCCCCGGGCATCCCGGGCCGGCTCGTTAGGCTCCAGCTGGGCAGGAGGCCCGGAGGGCGCCGCCCTCGCTTCCTGCACGCGGCCTGGGCTTTCCGTCCCCCTCTGCCCACAGCTCACCTGGTTGGCAGGAACACCCCAGACACAGCCTCTGCTAGTTGTCCTGGCCTCCCCACCCACCCAAACCCACGTCTCTCCCTGATGCAGGGACCCATCCCCCCATTCTTGCCTGCTGGCCCCTTGAAATACGAGGGCAAGGGCCGGGCTTTACTCATGTCTGACACGTGCTCACGTGGCATCTCTGTGGGGGTGGGCGGCAGAGGGCGAGGTTCTGAGACCAAGAGTCCTCAGCCCTTCCCTCTGCTTCTTTGGGTCACAGAAGCAAATTTGGGAAGGATGCTAAGAGGGACCTGCCTGGCCACCAAAGTCGTTCCCTGACCCTTGAACTCCCTGGAACGGCCCTGACTCACCCGCTTTTGCCATATTGCCCACCCCTCCCCGCCACGGTCATTATCGCTATCACCACTAGTCATTGGCCATCTAACGGGCTGTCATTAACTCCGGTCTCTCTAGTCTACAGGGATGAGGTGCAGGGAGGTGGACAGAGGAGACTGAGACGAGAAAACACTGCGTGGGACCTTCCAGCTGTCACTGTGCAGGAACAATGCCGCTATTTGCTCCGCTGTCTCTCTTGAACAGTACATTGGCCCCACAAGGTAAGAACAATTGGATCGATGAGAAACACTGCTCCCAGGAAAGATGGGGTATGTCCAAGGTCACACAGCTGGCAAAGTGGCGAACCGAAAGCAAACTCAGGGGCCTCAGGTCCCAGATCCCTGTACCCTCTGTGACAGTGACATTCTGGGGGGGGTCCCAAGGGGGAAAGGGCTGTCATGAGGCCCCTTGGTAGAGGGCAAACCTGCCACCTGCCCCCTCGCTCAGGCGGGTTGGGAGATGATGGTCCCTGAGGCGGGATCAGGGGGACTGAGGGGAAAGTGTAAAACCCTAGACAGGTGCCAAGAGCTCCAAGCATCCTGGCTTAGGTCAAGCCACAGCTCTAGGGACAGACAGACCTGGATTCAAATTCTGGCTCCTCTATTTACTATTTGTGTGATCTCAGCAAGTGACCCCACTGCTCTGAGCCTGCTCTGTAAAGCGGGGCTAAAAGTGCCCACCCCAAAGGCTGGTTGGGAGGATTCAAGGAAATCGTGCTTGGTGCATGCTCCAGAAGTGGTGGCCGTTATTCTGGGGTCCCTTCCTCAGCTGGACCACGGGCACTCTCCCTGGGCACCGCCCTCAAGCAAGTGTCCTAAGGAGACATCACCTGCGGCTGGGAAGCCTTCCTGCCAGTCCCCTGGACTTACCGCTGACATCCTTCCCATAACTCGGGAAACATCCAGAAAGCTCTGTCCGAAGTAAACACAAGCTGGTCCCACACCTCCCAAAGTCAGGGAGTCTCTGGGGGGAGCAGGAATGGGAAATCGCCACCGGCCCATGGCCCCAGGGTGGAGCCAAGGCAGGGTGCTGGGGACAGGAGGTGCCAGCAGCCTGTGGGCAGAGAACGGGACCCAGGGATGCGCAGGGGGCGGGGCAGGCAGCAGAGGCGTGGTGAGTGCCCAGGTGTGGCCTCGGCTCCCAGCTAGAATCTGCCCTCCCTTCTCTACCCGGTAGCCAGAGCTGCACTCTGAGGTATGAGCCCATTGTACCTGGTGCCCGCCTCACCCTGAACGGAAGCTGCAGTCACACTCCGGCCTCCTGCAAAACTCTGCGCCTCGCCCCATTCGCTGGGCAACCGCCCCACTGGCCTCTCCTTACCCCATGGCAGGCCGCCAGGCCTTAGCCCTCTCCATTCTCTCTGCCTGGAATGCTCTTCCCCACAGTGTCTGCACGGACCCCCCTTCAGAGGCCTTGCCCGACCACCCTACCTGAAACGGAAGCCCCGTTCCCCGCCACCCCTTCGCCCTCCTTCATTTTTCCTTATGATTGCCTGTTGTCTGACATTGTAAATTAGGACTCTTTGGTTTATTATCGCTCCTCCCCCAGGGAATGCGCGTCCACAAGGGCAGGGGCTCTGCTCAGGTCACTGCTGTGGCTTCGGCCCCTGGAATAGCGTCTGGCACAGAGCGAACTCAACACGCAGCTGTTGGGTGAACGAACGAACAACGGATGGGATTCTGGGCCCATGCTTTTCTCGCTTGAATTTTCGGGCAGGTGACTTCACTTCTCTGGAACTTCCAGGGCCAACTAGAGCACACGCCCACTTCACAGGGCTGTTGTTGAAATAAATAAAGTTAATGGAGTGTGAATGGAATGAACACATAATAGGTGCTCAATGAACAACCGCCATGATCGTCATCACCACCGAGGGCCTCAGGCTCGGTCACCTGCTCGCTGAAGTCTCGGGCCCTTCGAGGATGTCTCTGAGCCCGTCTGTTCATGTGCCAAATGTGGAAGTCAGGAGTCCCTGCGTCTCACCCAGGGACGTTGGGTCGATGCCGGGGTCGTGTGTGTAAAGTGCCTAGCACGCAGCTGACGCCCCGTAGGTCCTGACCGAGTGGCAGCAACTAGAATCCTGGAGAGCCCAGCATTTGGATACCGGGCCCAGCACTTCCCTAGTCTGTGATTTGCGAAAGCGACTTCACATTTCTGAGTCTCAGTCCCACCTATGAAATTGGGATGACAACAGACAGTCCCTTCTTCACAGACTGTCCTGGGGTCACAATGAGATTGTGCACCTGAAGCTGTAAGGCAATGTGCTGTGACAGGCAGGAGAGGGAGCCACAGACACAGGGGACGGGGAATGGGCGACGGCCCGGGAGGAAGAGAAGAGCTCTCTGGGCAGAGTCAGGACAGAACAAATGGCTGAGCGTGGCCTGAGCCCCGAGGTGGGGGGCAGAGGGCACAGGGCTCAGAGGCAGGCAAGCCCCTCCTCAGTCAGGAACCTTCTACAGAGAAGCCCAGGTCCTGCCCTGCCCCTGTCCCCTCCTTTTCCCATGGGACCTCATGGGGGACTCTCCTGGCCGGTCTGGGCAGGGAGGCAGGAGACAACAGCAGGACCCCACAGGAGGCTCCTTCCCCCCCAGCCAGCCTCCCACCCAGCCACCTCCTCCGCGCCCTGCCTTGCCCTGACGCCCCGAGCAGCCCTAGGAGAGGAGGCCTGGAAGGGCGGGCTCTGGGCATCCGTGCGGCCAGATGGACTCCCCGTGCCCCAGCCAGTGGGGGTCTGAGCAGAGCGCCGCCAGGCCCCCCCGCCTGAACTGCTTTCCACCGCCAGACAGACGAGAGTGCCCGGCAAAAGCCAGAGGGGACTCTACAAATGACTCAGTCGGGAATCCCTAGACTGCAAGTTCCATGAAGCCTGATGGTTTTTCGTCTGTTCGGGTCTTTGATGAATTCCCAGTACCTAAAAGAGTGCCTGGCACTTAGCAAGGGCTTACTAAATAGACATTAAGTGAATCTGTAAATCAATGACTGAAGCAACCAAGCCATGAATGGCTGTAAGTGAACTTCCCTGCGGGCTAGGATGTTTTCTTTTCTTGTGTTGTTTGATAAACCTCCAGTGCCTCGAAGAGAGCTTTAGCACCTAAGAGATGCCAAGTAAATGTGTGTGAGAGTACACGTGTGTGACCATACACCTGAACCCATCATCAAATCAATGCCTCATTGGAATGTCATCTCTGAAGGCTACATTCATAGTGCCTCGAGCATAGCAGGTGTCGAATGAATGAATGAATGAGGGACTGAGTGAATGAGTGAACAAGCAGGGCCCCAGCCCTCAGCGCAAAGACCAAGAAGAACACCACACAAAGGGGCCGCCCTGCCCCTGGTCACCACTCAGTGCCTCCTGGTTTTTTAAATAATTTGTCGATTGTTTTTAATGGTTGAGGCAGTAATACTTGGTTCATGAAACTGCAATATACAGAGAGGTGAAATAAATAGCTTATATATATAATATATATAATATAGCTGGTTTTAAAATATTCCCTTATCATTGGTGTGCTAGGTCACGTGAGTCACGGAAAGTCGATAGCAGCATCCTGCAGGCTGCGAGCAAGGCAGGGTCACCGTGATTGGACGAGGCCGTCTGTCGTCGGAGGTCGAGGCGCCGAGAATTCCGAGGGGCACGCCTTCCCTGCGCGGTGTCTCGGGACAGCTTGCAGCAGACAATAAATAAATGACTGCAAACCAGAGAGCGATTTTTGTTGGAGTTTGGGGCAGGGACAGGAGATTGGGAAAGAGGGGGGAGTTTCTTGGGGGGGTAGGGGTACTACTTTTTTCTGGGTTTTTTTTTTTTTTTTTTTTTTTTTGCTTTTTTCCTTTTGCTTTCAGAACCTTTGGGAAAAAGGACTTTGGTTTCTCAGAGTGTCGTTTTCCTCATTCAAGTCCTCCTCTGGGGACAAGGTTAGAGTTGTCTGTTCTGAGAGAGAGAGAGAGAGACAAGCACCTGTGGTTGACAACAGTTCCTTTGCGTGAGTCTTTGTCATAGGGGGTTTCAAGTCAACAATAAAATCCTTATCGTTCCCCCTCCCCCAAGAGTTTTGGTTCAGTTTTTGTCTTCTTTGAAACACAATGTACAAAAATAGAGCTTCTTCCTTATTTTTCATGTAAAAATATTCCTCTGATGCAGTTCTCTGGGAGTGTGAGTGTGGGCCGGGGCGGCCGCCTAGCCGGGGTGCGTGGGCCGGATCCGCCGGGACCGCTTGGTCACCGTGGTGTACTTGAAGGGTTTCTGCAGCTCCGTCTGCCCCTTGGGGTAGCGCTTCATGAAGTGCACGTCCTGCTGGTTCTCCCGGGTCTTGGGGCCCTTCCTCGGCCGTCCCTTCTTGGTGAAGCCCACGTACCAGCCAGAGTACTTGGCTGACATCAGGGCTGTGTAGTTGTTCTCCAAGACCTTCTCAATGAACACACACTCCTTACTGGTGCCGTCCGGCTGCAGGAGGAGAGAGGAGAAGGAGGTGAGAAGGGACAGGGCAGGTGCGAGCCCGGGCGGGCAGCCACGGCCTGGGGCAGCACAGCAGAGAAGTCCTGGCCCACGCTTTGGCCTCAGCACTTTGACTTCCTGGATCTGTGAAGTGCACTCATTGCATCAGTCCCTGGATTCTTCCCCACCCGCCAACTAGGTAACAGACTCCTGTGATCATTCAGGGACCCAGATCTTCCCCACTCTCCCCGCTGCAGCCAGGAGCTCCTACCTCAACTCTATGAGAACAAGAAACCCAGAGGTAGCCAGCCAATCAAAACATGATTGCCTGTGATTGGTCCAGGGCTGGACACATGACCCAGGCCATCCAATCAGTGTTCCTCAAGACCCTTATAGAAACAATGCCTAAAAAACATAGGCTCGCTTAAACTTGGGGACCACGGTAAGGCTGAGGCAAAGCCGCTTTACCACCATGAGGAGAAATCCTGTTTGACAACAAAGTCAGCATGGAGGACACAAAGCCAAGAGAGGAAAAGCAGCAGAGAAACCAAGCCCTGGTCGCACGCTTTAGCTTCTGGACCAAGCTGAGTCTGAAGCTCCACCTGCCTGACTGTCACATGGGCCGACACTATCTCACGTCCTGTGAACCAGCTCAGATTGTGTTCTGGCATTTGTGACAGACAGGGGTCCTGACCGACGTGCCCAAAACCTGACAGGGAGTCGGCAACTCCACTGCCGCTCAAGCTGCACTGTTATGTTGTTCAGTATAAATTACATTTAATGTGGGATGGGGTGCATTTCAGTGTTTGGTGTGAAGGAGAGTGGGAGCCCCCCCCAAAATAAGAGTGTTAGCATGACCAAACCCCGAAGCCTGTGCCCTCGCCGCAGCGACCTCGGGCTCCCGAGCTGACGTGCGAACTTCCTGGGAGGCTGTGCTGGGCAAGGAGCACCGCCTACATTCAGACTCAGGAGCAGCTGAGTCAACTCCAAGGCTTCTGTGCGTGGCCTCAGATTAGTTCATTCCACTCTCTAAACCTTGGATTCCTTGCCTTACCAAACAGGGACAGTGACCCATGTCATAGAAATCTTGCGAGAGACAATGCTCATAAATGAGCCTGGCGCACAGTAGGAACCTGCTGAATCGATAGTGAAGACCAGGTGGTTCGGAAGGTCTGGCTCCCCTCCTTGGGCCTGCGCTGGACAAAGGTAGTGGGCGGCAGGCCTGGAGTCCCCTCCCCGAGACAGCCGAACAGCCCGATGGGGAAGAGTGGGAAACACACAAAGCTGGAAGGCCTGAATTAGCAGCACTGGAGTTTCCAACCAACATCTCCAAATTTAGGCCGGGCCCACTCCTCGTTACGGACAGATGCCCAGCCAAGTTGGAAGCCCGGCGGTCTGGCTGTGCGTGGAGACTGAGGTGCGAGTTCCAGCCTTTTGTTTGAAGTGGAAAACGGGCTGGAGCTTCCAGGAACGTTCACCTTTGAGTGGAGGGCAAGCTTGGGCTCTGCAAAGTGCTGAACTTTGCAGAAAGGGACAGGCAGGGCAAGAAAACATTCTCTGGAGGACGAGATCTTTCGAGGAGGCGGCAGGGCAGGCAAGGGAAGTGTCTGGGAGACACACGCAAGATCCAGGGGACAGAATGGGTGGGATGAATCGTGAAGGAAGCCAGAGCATACGTGCAAGGGAGTAGAGGGGCATGGGCTCTGGGTACTCCATGGATAATTCTGGAAGCTCCCTATCCAACCTGAGTCCAGGTCCCTTGGCCCATCTCGATGGAACAGTCAAAGCAAATGAAACAAAGCTCATATCATGATGTTTCCCCACCCTGAAATACCTGCATGGACAACGGCTTTCATCCTTCAAGGCTCGTTCAGCAACTACCTCCTCCAGGAAGCCTTCCCTGACTGCTATCTATTGCCCTGGGTATGTCCTCCTCTTCAACATTCCATTCAAGCATCAAGCATTACTGGATTCACATACTCTATCTCCTAGACCCCCTGGGCACTCATCTCTCCTACCTGCCCCCAACAGAGCAATTCCATATCTGCCTGCCTCCTCAACAGCCCAAGAGCATCAGGTGGTACGGACTGCTTCTTAGTTGTTTTCATGGCTCAGCACAGGCCTTAACCCAAGACAGGGGTGCCCAGAGCCTTTGTGGGTGAATGGGTGTGAGTTCTGCTGGGATTGAAATGGTGGGAAGAAAACAGGCCCTGGCTCCTCCTGGACCCCAACTAATGTCCCCCCGACAGTCATGAGCTAGGAGAGACCCCTCCTGGGGATGTTCTGAGACGGGGACAGAGACAGCAGAGGGTTAACATTCTGTGTGTCACCCACTCGGTCTCCCTACTTATTCATTCAGCCTTTATTAATGGCCAACGATAGGCCAGTATGTGCACATCCGTTATTTCATTGAATCCACCTCACTCACCGCGGTGGACTCTACCTGGAAGAAGAACACAGAGTCCAAAGAGGCAGCCGGGCTTATTATCCAAGGTTATGGAGCTTGCAAATGGCAGAGCCAGGCCTTGAACCTGCATTCGCCACTGCGCCTCGCCTCTTTCTCCTTTGTCCAGTTCCAGGCATACCCATAAGGAGAAAGGGGACGGCAGCTTGGGCACCGCCCATCAAAACACCTCGCCTCTGCAGGCCCATACGCCTACATGGGCGTGAAGCAAGCTCCCGAGTGAGCGAGGGTGAGCACAGTGCCTGGCGCACGGGTCGCACGCGTCTGGGTTTACCTGCAGGGCTGGGGGGCTGGGCCTCGGGCTGAAATTCGCAACACCCCAGGTTCAGGAGCCATGGGGGCTACCTATGGTGGTCACAAATTCCCCCCAGAAGCTCAGAAGATAAGATGCCAACACAGTCCGCACCTGGGCTTGACCCTCGCCCCTGCTCCTGATGCCCTCTGCGACCCTGCTGTGGCCTGCTAGGGTTTAAAGACACCTGGGGCTGGGGCCCGGTTCAGGCAAGGCCGACGAGCAGGGTTTAGGGAGCGAGTGACCATCTGAATCCAGAACCTCAATGATCTGGAATTTGTCATCTCCCCCTGTACCCCTTCCCGCCTCCGCCTGTCCAAACCGTGATGCAAAGACTGAATCCTGATGACATCCTCTGGGCCCCTAGAGACAGTTTACTTGAAACTAGAATGACCCTCTGGACATTTTTAGTTACACAGACAAACGTTTCCTTTTTGGCATTAAGGCATTTTGCGATGGGTTTTAGTCACTTACAACCAAAGCAGTCTTCCCAAAGATGCAGGGGTGGGCAGCCCTCTGAACCTGCTGCCCCAAAGAGGACCTCACCAGTGACCACACCAGAGGGCACAGATGAGAAAAACCCATCTGGGCTGAGTCTCCAGAGATGGGGAGAAAACGCCCAGTGCACAGTGCACCACACTCAACGACTATGGCACGAAAGGAAGCAGTACCGCCTGGGCCAGACGGATGTGGGGTCTGGAGAGGAGGGGAGGGGCTTGGGCTGGAGCCCAGAGCCAGGGGTACCTGAAAAGGCTCTGTGGGGGTTCATCGGTGCCCATCGGTGGCCAGGTTGGCTCCCAAGGTCAAGATCGCCCAAGAAAGCTGTCCAAAGGAGCCAGAGCCTAAGCTGAAGCCAAGGGTGCCCAGAGGCGAAGGAGGGACTCAGTGATCTGGTTTCAAAGGGGAAAGGAACTAGCATTGAGCGAGTAAGTGCCTCTGAGTGCCACCATTTTCAATCCCATCTCACAGGTGAGGACACAGAGGCTCTGCGAGGTCAGGGAACCCGGACTCCCTGGCCTGATGTGGGTAATTCTGGCTGGAGGCTAAGAGTCAAGTCTCAGAAAACAGTAACTGTATTTCCATTTCTTGGTGCCCTTGCAGGCTCTGGGGCAGGTAAAGGGAACACAGAGAGAAGGATCCAGACTTGGTCCTGAAGGAGCTCACAGTCTATCAGGGAATGCAGGTCCGAGAACAGGCAGTGACGACCCAGGAGAGCAGACCTGCGGCGGCGCAGGGGCTGTGTGAGGGGCTGGGGCTCCCGGGGGTGGGCGGCTGAGCGGGTCAGAGAAGCGGGCAGGTCCGGAAGGATGGGCCAGGATGCAGGGCAGAGGGACAAGGGAGGGTAGTCCCAGCAGAAGGCCTGGCTTGCACAAAGCCTCCAGGGAGTGGGACTGGCTGGCAGTGCCGTGCGTCTGAGGCCAGGGAGCCTGCAACAGCAACACAGCAAAACAGCAGCAGCCCAAGGGCCCCGGGCTTCCACTGCAGGACCTGAGCGAGTCAGGGGCGCTGGGCTGGGCGGAGGCCAACAAGGGGGCGGGCTCCCAGTGAAGTCTGGACAGGTGGATCTGGGGGGCGCCCTTGGAGCCCCCGGGGCCGGCCCAGAAGACAGAAGCCTGGAGGGGGCTGATGGGGAGCTGCAGCAAGGGGGCGGTCCTCCGCGGACGGCGCTGAGCCTCGCCTTGCCTCCAGCTGAACCGTCCCCAATATTAATGACGGGAGAGAGGGCGAGGGGGCAGGAAATCGGAGCCGGCTCCTGTGGAAGCGGTGACTCAGCGGCCAGCCGGCGGGCGGGCGGAGGGCGGCAGGCGGCGGCGAAGGGCCCGAGGGGACAGGGCTGCTCTTTTGACCCCACAACGGCCCTCCCTGGGGTCAAGATGCCGGGAACCGCGCAGACAGCAGGGAGGGGCGCGCAGGCGCGGGGCACGGCAGGCTGCCCTGCGCCCCTCCTTCCAACAGGGAAAAAAAAAAGAAGAAGAAGAAGGCCGAGAGTACAACTGCGAGCAGGTTGGGCCTGGGAGACGGCCCGGGCCGGGCAGGAGAACAAAGCGCCCGACGCAGGGCCGTGGGGCGGCTGCGCGGCTCAGGAAACGCACGGCCAGGCCAGGGGACCTGCGCCCACCCGCCGCCGCCCCTGCCCCAGACCCCGCGCCGGCCGCCGGTCGGTCGCGGCGAGTGAATCACTAATTGAAACCACTCGTCGTCATCCCCAAGCCGCGCGACACGATTACTATTATTTTGTTTGCTCTTTGAGAGCTGTAGTTGGTGTGGGCAGCGCAGCTGGAATCTTTGCCTTCCCGACTGGGTTGTGCATCCCGCCCAGCTCTAGTGTGGGACCTGGGACAAGTGCCTGGGGCCCGGCCCGACTCGGCTTTCGCATCTGTGGCATGAGGATGGCAGTGGTACCAACCTCCTGGGATTATTCGGGAGCATCTGGCAGAAAGTAGGTGCTCAATTAACGGAGGCCAGTAGTACCATTATTATTAACAATAAGCAACAATACCCGGGTTCTAGTCCCTGGCCTGCTACACTGTCCACACTGTTGCCAGCCACTCGGGTGTGGAGGACAGATAGAGGGATGTGTTGGGAGACTGAGAAAATCAAAGACGTGGCAGGAACCTCCCCCTACCAACAAGGTGCAATAAATGTAAATAACCAGCCAGGGCCTTGCCCCCAAGCAGAAGACGTCACCTTCCTTGGAATCTGGGTCTACTCTCCACCCCACACCCACTCCACCTGTCCAGCAAGTAGAAGCCCGCCCCCCCCGCCCCCGCCGTCATCCCATTATCCAAGTTGGATCGGGAGCGGGAGGGCGGTGAGGAGGGTCCCAGCAGAAGGAAGGGGCGCAGGCGGGATCCAACACAGAGGCACTGCCAGCAACACCTTCCGCTGGAACTCCCACAGGGCGCGAGTGTGTGAGCTTCGCAAACGAGCACACCCAGGAAAAGAGGGGGAACACTGGGATGCGGCATCGGTGGAGGCTCAGAGCCCCTGGCACATGGGTCCACCCGGCCGCACCCCCACCCTGCCCTAATTTGTTACATGCAGCTCTCTTGCCCGTTCCAAAGTAATAAAATCTTCCTGAAATGCTAGAACCGTGAGGCCCAGCGCTGACGAGGCGGCTGGGTTCCGGAGCCTGGCGATTGTTAAAACAACGCCGCGGCCCAGCCCTCCGCCCGGCTGCTTCCCTCTTCCCAGACATCAGGTACACGCAGGCAGCGGGGAGCCCCAGAACCCCCCGGGGCGGGCGTCGCCCCTCCAGACCCGCTACAGTGCCACATCCACAAGGAGAGATCAGGGCCCTGCGTTCTCCCCGAAGTCACAGGCACGGATAACATGGTAAATCGGATAACGGCCTGGCAGGCTGCGCGAGCCGGGCAGAGAAGAAGGGGGCAAAGGGAGGAACTGCAGTGGGAGCCTCGCATGCACACTCCGCGGCCGGTTTCCATTTAGGGCTGCTGCTGCCCGGGGCTCGCAGCTCCAGAGGGGACCCGCCCCAGTTCCCCAGGATCCCAGACCCTCACTCACCTTCCCCACGAGCTTGCCTTTCCGGTTCATGCACAGGTAGAATTCCGTCTCCTTGCCCTTGATCCGGACCTGACTGCCAAAGGTGTCTGTCTCCACTAGGAGCTGGGCTTCGAAAGGCAGAAGCAGAAAAAGACATGCTTTTTTACCATGTCCCTGGACACCCCCGCCCCCTCCCCACACTGTCGCCAAATTAGGCACGGGAGAGGCCTCTGCCAGGTCCCATTGGAGCACCCTGCGTCTCAGGCAGGGAGAGGGAAGCTGTCCCCACCTGTTCCCTACCCCCAGCTTCTCTGGACTCCGCTTGGGACCCAGCTGGCTCCAGCCAGAGAGAAGTTCTGTCCCTGTGGCTAAACACCAGGGGGTCTCCCCCTCCCTCCATGACCCACCTTCCCCTGCCCCTCAACTCCATTCCCCAGAGCAGAGCAGAGAGCCATACAAATAACCCCACAGAATCAGCCGTCTCCGGAATAAGGACCCAGACAAATGCACGTGAGTTCTCACGTGCACACACACACACTCACACATGCACACGGACACACATGCCCTTTGCCTTGGGGGACACATCAGAGGCTCTGTCCCCTCCTGCCTCCACCCCTTTGTCACGGGAAGGCCCCGGGAGGGCACGTTCACTTCCTCAGTCCAGGTCACGAGGCTGAAAAGTAACTAACTCCCTGGAGCCCGGGAGTCCCACTCGGGAGCCAGTACCCCCTGTCCTGGGTAGGAGACCCTCTGCTACCATCTGTGCTCGACAGGACAGGGGTGTCCGGGCCCCTCCCTGTGCCCCTGCCGGTCCACGTTTTCTCCCCAGCAGCGTCCTGTGCGACTCTGGTAGGCCACGCACACTCTCCAGGTCCTCTCTCCTCTCCGGCCCTGAACCCCCACACCTGGTCCCCACCCCCGCGCCCCCTCCCTTGCCTTCTCTGCCCACGACCCTTCCGTTCTCACCCTCCCGTCCCTGACCCTTTGCTTCCTAGCACCTGCCCCTCCCTCCCCTGCAGAATTTTAATTTCGGTGACAAGGGACGGGCTTCTCCATAACAAAAATCATAGCCCTAAATATGGTATCCTTGGAGCCACAAAGAGCGGAGCTCAGCGCCCTTAAAATACACTAGGTATGATTTTAATTAAAAAAAATTAAAAATATATACCCTGGTGCCCTGCTGTGAAAATTAAAACCATCTGGAATGCAGAATTTCCAATAATTAATCTAGCCCTCCTTTGACACCACTACTAATTAAAATATGATACCCCACCTTTCCACGGAAAAAAAAGAAGAATTTACATAAAATTTAAAGATCTAACAAGAATTTAGTAATTCTAGAAACAAGGGGCAAGCACATTCTTCCCCCCACCTTCCCCCATCCCTAGTAAACACTGAGTCAGGAACGTTAGCCGATGCTGCGACAGAGGGGACGGGCGCTCCATCCTCCCTGCTCCCCTTAACGCAGACACCCTGGACCTCTCTGTGGCAGCTCGGACCCTGGGGACCCAGGTCCAAATGTCCCAGCAGCCCCGGGAGTTGCTCCCTGCTTCCACTCCCTGCTTCTGCTCCCGGCTGGAGGTCAGGGGAGGTGAGAGCGCTAGAGCGCACAGACCTGGGCCTGAATCCCCGGCCAACTGTACGGCCCTGGGCCTCAGTTTCCCCTCCAGTAAAATGGGGGAAACCCTCCCTGGTCTGCGGGTTAGTATGAGGATTACGCAGAATGATGCTGGGAGGGGCCCGCGCCTGTTCTCAGGGGCGGGGGTGGGGAAACTCCGTACCTGTTGTTCAAGTTTCCTAACTGCAAAACAAAACTGTTCTCCCAGAAGAGAAAAAAGATACATGCCAGAAACAATCAGATGTCTGTGTAAAAGGCCAGAGGTGGAGCAGGACTTGCGTCCGAGGCCTGGGTGCCCCCGACTGAACTTCCGCAGTGCCCTCTGGGCTTGCGGGCGCCCCGCATATCAGAGAGGGCCTTGGACTGGGACTTAGGGGTCTGATTCCGTTTCTGGTGTTGGCCCTGCTGGGCTGTGTGACCTTTACCCCTCACTGTGAGCTCCGGTTTCCTTACCTACGCAAGGGGGGCTCCACCCTATTCCGATTCTCGCTGAGACTGGGGGCAGGGTCTAGGACGGGGTAGGGATGTGACCGCTGTAAGATGAGGCCACAGGGCTGGGGCCCAGGCGACCCCACGTGACTCCCAGGGGGTAACAGCTCCTACTACACGCCCGATCTGGCTCCCATGGGAGCCCGCTGAAGTCACACATCCCCACACGCTGGAGCGTCTTTGTCCCCATTTTACAGTGTAGGAAACTGGGGTTCAGAGAAGCAAGCCAGCAGGAAGGGCTGACATCAGGTCTGCCGGCCTCTTTCTGCGGGGGCCTGAGCTCCAGGGGAGGACCCCCGGCTCCGGAAGGGAGACGTGGCTCAAAGCACAGCCCACCACCGCCCAGCAGCCACAGCCCACCACAGGGAGCGTCCAAAGGGCCTGGGGCTGGGGCCGGACTGCACCCCGCCCACCAGCCTGGCCGCCCACGCCCCAGCGTGGGGAGGGTCTGCGCCGGCGCCGCGCCAGGGGAGCCAGAAGTCTGTTCCCCCCCGACCGCAGCAAGCCACGGAGTGACCTAGACTCCACTCAGCGCATGACATAATGAGGAGGGAGCTGGGCCAGAATTATGTAAAGTCTTTGGGGAGTAATAGCAGCAGCAGTTCTCAGAAAGAGAGAAAGATCGAGAGAGAGAGAGAGAGAGAGAGAGAGAGAGAGAGAGAGAGAGAGAGAGACCGACCACACCCGCCCAGGCCAGGTTTCCCCCAGAGCCTGCCTCCTCCTCAGCATCACACCACTCTGCACCCCACTCCATAATCCAAGGCCCAAGCCCCCAAGACGCGTCTGGGCCCTAGACGCCTCCTCTCTGCCCAGGTCTGCTGCTCTCAGGCCCGCACCAGCCAGGCGCGAGGAGGCGATGACATTATCTCACTCCGCTCCTCATCAGACCTCCTCACCGCCCTGGCGGCCCCTCTAGTTTTCACAGTTCAACAGCCTCCCCGCGCCCCCCCGCCCCCTGCCACTCCTGCCCCTCACCAGTCTCCCCGAGACGTCAGTCAGAGAGATCCTTGCTGAAAGCCTCCTCGGGGCTCTGACCCACTGGAAATCCAGCCACTTCACGGGGGCCCATGAGGGGCACGTGTTCTGGGGCCCGCTGACCACCGCCAGCCCCTGCCCCGCCCACAGCCCGCCCGCCAACGGCCTCCTTGCGGCTGCTCTCCGACACACCCCGCACACTCGCACCCCAGGGCCTTTGCACTTGCTCTTCCCTCTCGCTGGCTATTGCTTTGCCCAGAGCTTCCCCTAGTGGCTTCTCATCTCTTAGGTCGCCACTCAAATGTCACCTTCTTAGAGAGGCCCTCCCCGGCCATGCTGTCCAATGTCACACCAGCCTCCCCCTCCAGCACGACCCACCCTCCTCCTGCTCCGTAGTCCTCAGAGCTCTTCTCCCAATTGTCTTACTTGCTGTCTTTTTAGTATCTGTCTCTACTTACTGGAAGGTAAGGCCCAGGCGGGCAGGGTCCACCCCGTCTTATCCGCCGCTGTGATTTCCTGCTCTGACCCACCCCGGGCTCACAGGACGTGACCAACGAGGGCATTTTACTCAATGTATATATGACCCTGTGGGGGGCGTGTGAGGAACACCAAAGGAAATGAGAGGCGGGGAGGTGCGGAGACTCGGCGAAGGCACACAGCTGGTCAGCGCAGGGCCGCGGCTCGACCCCAGCGTCTGATTCCGCAGCCCCGGCCCTCCGCCGCTCAGCTCCCCGCCGGTGCCGTCACTCCTGCCCCGCCAGGCTCGGAGCTCCCGCCCACCCATCCCCAGCCTCAGGTTACTGTCCCCTATTCTGACTTGCGGTGCAACAGAGGGAAAGACCCTGTCCCTCTCTGGGCCGGACTAGGTGACCTGCAAGGCCTCGTTCAGTTCGGCTCCTCTAGGAAGCCTCAGTAACTCACATGTGTCTAGAACCATGACGTGCCGGGCACAGTTCTAACCACCTTCCATGCCTTAACCTCGCTCGATCCTTACAACAATGTATGAGGTTTGGATGGTTATTATCATCCCTGTTTTACAGGTCAGGAAACTGAGTCCCAAGATCACCCAGCGATGGAGGGAGCTCAAACCCAGGCAGGACTCCAACCCAGGCAGACGAACCCAGAAGTCTTGGCCTTGGCTTGTCGATGCCCGCTCACCTCCCTCCTGCCCTATGCTGTCCCTTCCCTGGGGGCGGGGTGAGGGACCGAAAGCCAGCAGCGGGCAGGGATGGTCTCCGCTTTGACCTCCCTCGCAGAGGGCAGAGTCTACGGGCAGAGCAGCGCATAGGGCTGCCGCCAGGCCTATCCCTCCCAGCTGCACTTGCAAATGCCCTTGAGGGAGGAGGGATCCCCTAGGGTCACTGGAAGATGGGAGACTCTTAGGAGCACCCAAGGCCCAAACCACAGCCAGAGAGGCAGAAGTGGCTTCATATCTGGTCAAGGGAAGAAAAAAGCTACATGAACTCGAGGGGGCGTGAGTACAGGATTAGGGGGCCCACCGGCCCCTGAGAGGAACGTCTGCAGAGCCTGCCTCACCGGGCTCAGCCCCGAGCAGGGGCCTGGCACCTGCCTCTGGCTGGGAGCCAGGAGCTCCAAGGACCCGGAGGGGAAAGCAGGAAAGGAAAAAGGGAGCGGAAGAAAAAAGACCTGGCAAGAAAGCCCTTTCTATAAAAAACACATGCTCTCATCCCCTCCTGCGCCCCCGCCCCCTGCCCATTTCTCTTAAATAGATGGTGTAACAATGATCATTTTGAAAAATAACAGCTAATCCTTATCTGAGCACTCACCCTCTGCCAGGCACTGTGCTTGGGCTCTGACTGCGCCATAGCTCACTAGCTCCTTCCTCACCACAGCCCTATGGGGCCGGCACCATTGTGCCCATTTTACAGACGGAAGAACTGAGACACTGAGCAGTTAAGTGGCTTGCTGGAGTCACACAGTAGGGCCGGGATCTGGACACGGGCAGAGTAACTCCAGAGCTAGTCTGAGACAGAGTCCAAGGCAGGAAGAACGGACAGGCACACAGCCAGCCTGCGATGGCACAGAGAAGTGACACTGGGTTGCTGACCGATTGACTGACCGGCTGGTTCCGCTGAGCCTCTAGCAGGGCCTCGCAGGGGGTGGTCTTGGGCCTCACGTCGAAGGCTTTGGTTTGCAGGGTAGGAAACAGCAGAGAAAGACCCAGAGAAGCCACCGGAGAACCGGAGGGATGAATACAAAGGAGACACAGGAGACAAGATCCGGAGAGGGGAGCAGGGAGCACAAAGCTGGAGAATGGGTTTTTTCCCGCCCCCACGCGCCACGCCCCAGGCAAACCCCCCAAGACCTGCCCGGTGAGCACACCGGGGAGCCAGGAGCCAGGGAGAGGCGGGGCAGAGCCCACGGCCCGTGGGCCCTGCACAGGGCGGCCGGCAGCTGGCGGCCGGGGCCACTCCAACGCTGACAGTGCTGCTGGCCACTCTCCAGACAGTGTCCTCCAGCGAGGAAACGTCCTTGCCACAAAGACAAAGGATGTCACACCGAACCAGTACTCCCTCCCTGCCTGGTGCAGGTGGACCAGGTCCAGAGGAAGGGGGAGACGGGGATAGGGGAGAAGGAACCCTTCCGTCGTGCGCGCCTGCGCACACGTGCTAGGGCCTTTCTCCCAAGGTGCCGCGGTTCTCCTTCTGAAGTCCCTGAGGAGGTCGGCAGGCCACGTGGGCCCGCCGGGAAGGAGGAGGGAAAGAATCAATAGGATTGATCCAGAGCTATATTTAATCCTCACTGTCGCTCTGGTGCGGCCGTTTCAGCTGTGCAGTCCGCGAGGTGTGGGTGGTCGCGCCTCTGGGGACAGAATTTGTGGGACATGAGCTCAGAGGGCAGGGGTTTAGGCTGAGCCATACGTACCCCCTCCCAGCTGGGGGAGCCTCTGGGGGAAGCTGAGTCTGTTGCACAGCAAGAGGCTGACTGGTGAGGGGGGTGAAGGGAAGACCTACTGTGTGCTGGGCGCATGCCCAGGGGGAGTGACACCCTCAGCACTCCCAGGGGCACACAGGTGTCACCCATGCACTTGCTGGCTCAGGCACACACTGGGCACCTGCTTATGGCTGGCTCTGTGCCCGGGACCCCGCAGCCAACAAAACAGACAAAAGCCCTACCCTCAGGAGCCTGCATTATAATGAGAGAGGTGGCGAGTGACTGACTAAACATACAACAGAATGTCAGGCAGCGATAAGTGCTAGGAAGAGACGCATGCCCACCAGGGCTCAGAGGCGGGAACTCTGTGATAAGGCGACGATGGAGCAGAAGCCGTGAGGATATCTGGGAGAAGAGCACTCACAGGCCGAGGGGACAGCCAGCGCCAAGGCCCTTAGCTGGGAGCAGGCTTGGCGGGGAGCCCAGCGCTGGAGCGGCCATCACGAGCCAGGCCACCCAGACCTGGATTTCACATGGGAGCAGTGGTGTGGTCTCACCTCGGGACTGCTGTGTCGAGAATGGACTACGGGGGTCAGGCTCAGAGAGTGGGGGTCCCTGCTGCCTCAGCCACACCCACCAGCCCACAGGACCTTGCTCCGTGCTCCAACTGTTCTCCCACAGGGACCAGAAGGAGGGTGGTGGGGACTAGAGCGCCCCCTCACTCTCGTCTCCTGCTCAGCGAAAGCTGGGCACACCCACGTAGCTCCCCACAGAGCCGCACACACCAACCCAACGCCTGGTGATGCTCTGAGCTGCCCCACAGCTATTTTATTCATTCATCCAGCAGCCCTGGGGGCATCTCTGTACTGGACGTGGGGACATGCACAGGGTTGTTGCTTTCAAGGAGCTCACATTCCTGGAGGGACAGGGGAGCAGGGCGCTCAGGAGGGCTGCCCAGTGGGGCAGCTGACTCCCCGCGACCTTGAGGAGTGGGCACAGAGCTGGCATCACTGGCGAACGTGTGACGGCCTCCAGGAGGCCCAAGACCCTCACCGCGCACCCCGTACCCTGCGCCCCGGCCCCGTTAATCGTTGGGAAGGGCCCAAGCAGGGTTGCACGGGACTTAGGGACCGAGGCTCTTCCTACAGAGTCAGCCCTGAGGAAGGAGCCAGGGGCTCTGGCCCAGGAGCTCCCTGAGGGCTGGGACCAGGTGTGGGGATACTCAGCCCTGTATCCCCAACGCTCAGTAACTCTGTGCCAAGTGAGTGGGGTACCCCAGGGCGCACTGGCAGGAGACCAGACCACACCCAATATGAGGTCCGAAGACCCTTCCTGCCCATAGAGTCCAGTGCCTCAAGAGACCGTGGAATCTGAGATCAGGAATTCCCAGTTCCAGGTGTTAATAGGGACTCTGCCTATACTTGGCATTTGCTGCAGTTCCCAGACTGCACCCTAACCGTGTAAGGACGCGAGGCTCAGCTGGCATCCTTCGCTCAACTGGATCGAGCCCTGAGAAGGCGGGAGCAAGTTCCTGGACTATCCTGGGTCCCCTGACCAAGGGCTACTGGCTGCCCCTCCCCCGGAGGCGGGGCCGGCCCCTAACACAGCCCTGACCACATAAATCACCCTCCCAATAATATTTGTATTGATTATCTACATTGGAAGCCTCAATTGGCTCCATTGTTTCACTTCCTCTCCCGGGGTTCACAGATGGGGTCCTGTCCCCTCATCTGCGTTTCTAATGCGACTGTAGATGGAGCAGCCTCCGCGCCAGCAAGGCCCCACGCTGCCCTGGGTGCTGGAGGCTTGAGGGAGTAAAAAACATATTCCTGAAGAGATATTATTAAATCTAGAGTTTGCAGAGCTGGAGGAGAAGCCAGGATGGGCTGGTCCCTGGATACTCAGAGTGCAGACCCTCAGGATCACCTGGGCGCTGGCGGGAGATGCAGAGCTCAGGCCAGCCCGGAACCAATGAGGCAACGTCAGCATTTTAACGAGAGCCCCCTGTGATTTCCATGCAGGTTCACGTGTAAGAAGCGCCGCTCTAGTCCAACCCTCGTCTTGTCTGGCAGGGACACTGAGACCCAGAGAGGGCAAAGGCTTGCCTGAGGTCAGACAGCAGGTGAGATTCCCCGAGTCTCCAGTTTAGGCCCAGGAAACGGGACGGCAAGTGGCTTCCAGAGTGCGGAGCCCGCCCTTGGCCGGGCCCCTCTCCCTCCCGAGTTCCCGCCTCCTGTCTCAGGGCCTGGACAGATGGTTCAGACCAGAGTCTGACCCCCCTGTACTCTCCCAGCCTGGAGGGGCCAGCAAGAGCTCCGGGGACTCCCCAGGAGGGCACCTCCTCCCGCCCGGGCAAGCCAGCTGCCCCTTCCCTGGCAGCAACTGGACAGCAGATCCCAGGGAAAAGCGCCACCTGGGTCTGCCCAGCACAGCCAGACATTGGAGGGGGGGCACGGAGCCACGGAGGCCCCAGAGAGGCGGCCAGCAGAGGGCCTGGGAGAGGTGGGGACCAGGGCCCAGAGCTGTGGTCCAGGGAAGGAGGCAGAAAAGACAGAGATGCTGGGGAGGGGGGAGCCCGGGAGAGGGCCAGAAACAAAGAGGGGGAGCGATGAGAGCCAGGAAGGAGGGCGAAGGACCCCTGAGACAGAGAGAGAGGCCCGATGAGAGGAGAAGCAGCCGGGCTGAGGAAGGCAGGCGGGAAAGAGGGAGGACGGGGAAGGGGGCAGAGGAGGGCGATGGGGCAGGGAGAAGGCGGGAGGCAGCTGGCCCCGAGCCGGGAGCCCGGGCGGCCCAGCCCTGCCCAGCCCGGGCGGCCCAGCCCCCCGTGCCGGTGCAGCTGCCACACGTGGGCCCTACCATGAGGTCAGTCCTGCCCTGGGGCTGAGGGAAAATAAATGGTGTCCAAGATAAAAGGTCCAAGAAATTATTTGTCTTGTTGTCACGTCCTGACTGCAATGGGCAGGGGCCGGCGGGGCACCATCCCAGAAAAAAGCGGGGGCTGGCGGGCCCCAGGCGCGCACACGGGACCCGGCCCCAAGCCTCAGCCACCCGCGGCCCCAGCCCCCGATCTCCCTGGCCTAACAGCTCCCAGGACCTGGCCTGGGAAGGCAGGAATGGGGGGAGCATGGTGGGTACTGCTCAGCGTCTACCCCCAAATCCCCCCTCGGCTCTGGAAGGCGGAGTCCTGCCCGGTTCGCTCCTGGCTGAGGGTCTCTGTGGGCCGGGGGCTTTGGCAGAGAGGCCAGTCGGGGTGTCTCACGCCTCCCAGCCCCATGTGCAGAGGCAGGTGGTGGTTCCCAAACACCCAATTCCAGGGTCAAGGCCAGGTCAAGAGGACAGTGGCCCAAAGTGCTGTCCCCATGTCTCACAGGTACACGAGCTCAAGCTCACACACAGGTACCCACACAAAGACACACATAAAGACACTCACACGCCAGGCTGAGTCTCACAAAACGTTGTCCCGGGGCTCCCGCCCCTCTGAGCCTCTGAACCCGGGGCTGGTGGACCAATGCCATGGCGCGCGGCCACCTGCTTTAGGCCATCCCCGAGCAGCCACTGATAGCCAGAAAACTGCCACTTAAGGGGCATTTACCAGTCAAAGCACTTTTTAGTCACCTCTTCGGTTAGTGCGCGCAACAAGGCTCTCCGGACGCATCCCTGTATCCCCATTTCACAGATGAGGAAACTGAGGCCCAGGAAGGCTCAGCGTCAGGTGCAAGATCACACAGGCAGAGCTGGGACTTGAACCCGAGGTCTCTGAGTCTGGGAAGTATGTGCATGGTGGGGAAGGAAGGGGTGGGCACCTACCATACTTGTCCCCATCCTCGCCACGGGCACTGATCCTGCGGCCCAGGACCTGGATGTGCTTCCCGCTGGTCCGGCTGTAGAGCTGGTACAGCCGCAGCTGCTTACGGCTCACATCGTCCCGAGCCCGCGTCTGGTTCTCCACGTGGATGCGGAAGTCCACGTTCTCCTCGGCCACCAGCACCTGGGGAGGGAGAGGCGGGAGCAACGGTGAGCCCCATGGAAATCCTGGGTCCCCTGCGTGCCAGGGCCCCTTCTACACCAGCTCTGGGCCAGGGCTCCGCACACACTCGTAGCTGCCCCATTACCACCCCCATTTTGCAGAGGAGGCAGCTGAGGCTCGCTCAGAGAGGTGAGGCAAGTTGCCCGGGGCGGCCCAGCCAGGGAGCGGCAAAGGTAGGAATCAGTCCCCGTCTGTTTGAAACAAAGCTCGCTCTTTTTCCACCACAGCCCCAAATCAGAGCAAGCAGTGTGGGGCAGAGGTTCCTCTCGTGATCTCGGGCACACAATTTGTTCCGTCTCAAATCCCTTCCCAGCGAAACGGTAGAGCAGAGCCCTTGCTCTGGCTGCATCCCAGGGTGGCTGTGAGACTAAAGTGACCGAGGGGGCAGAAGAGTCCCCGAATCGATATAGAGGTGGGAGAGGGTAGGGAGCATCAGCTGCTCTTCAGGTCCTCGGCGGGGAGCGGGGAGGCCTGGCAAGTGTCATCCTGGGAAAGGATGGGCCAGAGCTCGCAGTCACGTCTCTCCCAGACCTGGTGCTAAGGGGGTCCTGGCCCCTCCCGTGGGGTCCTCATGCTCCTCCAGCCCCCCAAGCATTTGCCCACACACTGGCTCCTCCTGAAGCAGCCTCTCCTCTGCATCTTCGTCCAAACGCCCTGCATCCCTACGGCTTTAGTTCATGTCCGACCGCCTCTCCAGAGCCCGCCTCTGGCTACGCCCACACTGGCGCCTCCAGTCTCCCTTCTCCGAGCCTGGCCCCTCACCTGCCTCCAGCTTCCACTCCTGCCCACTGGCTGTCTCTCCTCCAGCAAACCCAATCACCTCTGTGGCCCTGCCCGCACACTCTCCGGGGCTCCCGTCACGCCTGGACGGCAGAGCCCCCACCACGGCCTCCACGCGCTGCAGGATGAGCCCTGCCAGCTCTCCACCTTCATCTCCTGCCACGCCCCCGCCCCTCACACTGGCTGCCTCATCAGGCCTCTGAGCATTTGAGACACCGAATGCGCACCTGCCCCAGGGCCTTTGCACGCGCTCCTCCAGCTGCTGATGCTCTCTCCCAAGTTTTTCCATTCCGGCTCCTCTACTTCCCCTGGGACTCTGCTCGGCTGTCCCATCCCGAGGCAAGCCTTTCTTGACTGCTTTCTGAGGCAGGCCACTGTCCATCCCTCGGCCATGCCTTGTTTTTCTTTCTAACACTTTCAACCAGACCTAACGTCTTGATCTGGTTTTTGTCTGTCTCCTCCTGACTAGGCTGGCAGCACCAGGAACTCTGGAGCTGCCTCTCCGTCGTCTGCTGCTGCATCCCCAGCACAGCTCTAACTCAAACCGTCGTCGAATGAATGCAGAAAGAAATGAACAAATGAACACTGAAAGGGCCTGGAGTCCTGTCACTCCATTTAACATTAAATAAGGCTTTTCTAAGCCCTGCTAATTATATGCCTGTCCCACCTCTTCTTAACCACAAAGCTGAACGATTCTTCAAGCCCAGACAGACAGTGTTCTAGGTTTATTCTCCGTACCCACAGGTCTGGCACAATGCCAGGCACACAGGACCTCAGTCCCACAAAAGCATGGCCCGCTCGGCCCTGGCAGAGCTCTTGGGAGCCTGGCTGCCCCTGTCTCACCCCTGGGCTGTGGGCTGCCAAGGCCAAGAACCATGTTTCCCTCATGGCCACGCGCACTCGCAGTCGAGGGGCTCTGTCCCCAGCTGACCTGCACGGAATCCTCCCGCCCCAGCCTGGACCCCGCGGGCACCTCAGCTGGGCCTCATGATTCGCCCTTCACCACCATCCTTGGTGGAGGTGGGGGGAAGCACTGGCCTGTATTACAGCTGAGGAAACTGAGGCTCCGAAGCAGAGCTGACAAGGTCACGGAGACAGCAACGGCAGCCCCACCTTGCTGGACCCCGCCTGCCCCACCTGCCCCGCCTGCCCCACCAGGGCCAGCCGGAGCTGGTTCAAAACCCAGGGCACACCACTCCCTAGCGAAGGGACCCTAGGTAACTCCCTAACCTCGCTGGGCCTCGGTTTCCTCGCCTCTGAAACAAGGATGAGGACAACGGCACCCGCCTCTGGGCGCCAGGGTTACAAACAGGAGGTCGCAGCACAGCGCCTGGGGAGAAGTAAGGGCTCAGCAGCGGAAGGCGGCCCTGGGAGAGGCCCCCAGGGAAGCCCTGCAAACAGAAGCCTCTTGGGGACACAAGCAAATCACTGCCCCTGTCCCTACAGACAAGGCCCTTCCGAGGCAAAGATGACAATTTAGGAAAATGTTATTGCTTTTGATCGTCTGGGACCCACGGGACATGGGAATGCTTATCAGATCCATTTAACAGATATGGAAACTGAGGCTCAGAAAGGCGAGTCAGTTGCTCTGAGTCACACAGCCTGGAGACAGGGAGCCATGCCACAGCCGGTGCACTGAGCGTGCACACCCTTCCCTTCTGCCAGCCCCGTAGCTGGCCCCCCACCACCATGCACAGCCACGTTCGGACCCAACCACTCCACACCTTGGTGCTCAGGGAGGGAAGAACCCTGGGGGCATGCGGCCTGAAGACCCCCCCATCCAAGGCCTTCAACCTCCCCGGAATGAGTTCCCATGGAGGCCTGGCCCTGGCCCTGGCCCCGCCCCCAGGGGCCGGTCTCCAGCCTCCCTCCCTGTCCTCCAACTCTCCTCCTGCTCACAGGAGACCTTATCGACCAGAGGTCAAACCAATCTCCTCACCCCAGGCCCCTGAGGGGAGCAGCCCTGCCCCAGAAGCTGGCCTCCCATTAACAATTTTCTCCTGGCGCACTGGACGGAGGCGGCGCGGCGCCCCGGGGTCAGGAGGGGCCGTCCGGTGTCCGGCCCCAGGATGTGGGAGGAGACATCCATCTTGCCCAGCTTCCACCATTTAAGTCCCCCTCTGTCCCATCAACCCCGAGGGAGGTGGCAGAATGGCCTCTGACACGGAAACAGAGTCTGTCCCCCTGACAAGGCAGGAGGCCTCTGGGCTTCCCAGGGAAGACTTCCGGGGGCTCCAGACCTTCGCTCAGGCCCGGGGCTCTGCCCAGGGCACCCTGCCCTGCCTGCCCACCCGGCACGTGTCCTCAGATGCCTGGTCTGGAAGCCGTTCCTGCCCTGCCCTACCCCACCCCAGTCTGGCTTAGGGCCTGGGACACTGCAGCGTATTGTCCCAGCCTCCAGCATGCCTGCCTCGCTCCACATCTCTGGCTCTGCCATCCCACTAACGTTTGCTCAGCCACGGTGGCAGGGACAAGGGCGACCTGGTGGCCAGGATCAGCCCCACCGCTTCCTACCCAGACAAGCGGAGCACCCAACGCAGGGGCGACAGAGGGGTGTTTTTCAAAGCTGTCAGCCGCTGTCCCGGGCACTCCGCATGGCAGCCTTTCGGTACGGCACCTCGTCTAATTCCTTCAGCCACCCAGGGAGGCGCGCCCAGGGAGAGCTGGCGCACAGGGCGGACCCCCGAGGCGGCTCTCGAGCCCAGGGCACTCCCAGGGCCGCCTGCAGGGCTCACACAAAGTGCCGACTCAGGACCCTTCTCTCCCCCTGTCCTGCTGCTAAGGGTGGGGGCTCTCTTCCGGGCCTTCTAGAACAGTCAGCGCTGCTGTCTGCTGACACCCCTCCAGGTGTCAGGTCATGGAGCGGGGGCTGGAAATATCGACTCCCCGGTCCAGGAACTGCTCAGGGGCAACGAGAGCCCCACAGATACCACTCTCCCGCCAGCCCTGCCCCCGAGCCCCTCAGGGACATGGTGCTGAGTGGGACAGGGCTGCCCCCTCCACCTGCAGTCTCACCCTTGTCGGCGCAGCTCTACAACAAACTGGGGGGTGGGGTGCTGTTCCGCTGCCCACGCTCTGCCCGCCTCCCCATGACCCACAGCACAGCGTCCCCAGGTGGGAACAATCTTCACGATCTGGCCCTGCCCGCCTTCCAAGCCTCCTCCCTGAGGCTCCTGATCGGAACCTTCTGTGGGGTGGAAAGAGGCTGGGGTGAGCCCCTAGCCCAGGGCCAGCTTTCGGACACCGACCCGGGTCCCCGTCCCATGGCCGCATGGCCGCACCCGAGCTCCCTGAGGGTCTCAGCCTCACTCACCCACTCCTGGCTCTGAAGGTACCTTTGGGGGCTTCCTGTTTCTTCCCAGGCCACAGCCCCATGTCCCACAGGCATGTGCCACATCACACATCACCTACATACACACATGACACAAACACACACACCACACACTCCAACAACCTGTATGGACCTCAGGTGCTTCCTGACCCCACCCCCTGCCAATCACCACCTTCTTTGATTCCTGTGACCTTCAGCATTCTCAGCAGCAGAAGAGGAATTGTTTATAATATTTATGTCAGAAAAATATCATACTAGTAGCAATAGTCGTGACCTTTTCCCTCTTCTTTTGCATGGTTTTCTGAACAGCCACGACTTCACCGCTTATTGAACACATCGTCTGTGTGAAGAACCACGTTAGGTCAGTGATCCTACGGAATCCCCAGAGCGGCCCGAAGACTTGGTGTGATTATTGTCCCCATTTTACAGATGAAGTAACTGAGGCTCAGAGGAGTTACATCACTTGTCCAAAGTCAGAGCTGGTGAGAAAAGGAATCGCGACTCACGTCCAGCTCCCTGTCTGTCTGGCCTAGAAGCCAAGCTCTCCACCACCTCCCCCTTGCCGCCTTGCATCTCTTCCATCTCCTCTCCTCCCTGTGGCTCCTTCCCCCTATTCAGGGCAGCAGTTGGTTCTGGCCACCAGCCATCGTGGGCGGGGCCTGGGGCTGGAGGCCTTGAGCTCACTCCCCCACCCGAGAGCAGAGGATGGGGTCAGGCTGCCCCCTCCCGCCCAGGTGCCCATCCCTGAGCCCTCATACGAGCCATGCCCCTGTCTCCAGGCAGGCTGCCCAGAAAGGGAGGGTCTCCCTGGTCCCAGGAGGGGCAGCCCACAGACTTCCGGCCACATTCC